TTTTTGTCAATGTTGAATATATACTGTCTTTTATAGCAAGCCTCAGAATATTCTGGACTTTAGCCTCCCTCATGGTATTCTTTGAATGTCCACATACGAATTCGGTTAGTTTAGGAAATAAGGCAGGGGACAAAGGAACATTTTCTCTGTGGTATCAATGCAACATAGGAGGTTTAGTATCTTTTTTTTTTTTTTTAATCAAAGTAATTCAGATTTGGCAAATAAGTTATCTAGGTTGTTTTCACAGCTCCTCTCTGTAAACAACTTCTTATAATGTAGTAAACCTGGTATAACAAGGCACAGTATTCTGTGTAGGGGACGGAGATGGCCTTGCACATCACTGATTGTGCAGATTAACAAGAGGTAGAGAATTACAGAAACATTTGTAAGCAAGTGTAATGGACATTTTATCTAAATGCACAGAAGTGCAGGGTGCTGTGATCGCATGTAACACGAGTACCTGACTTTGTAAAGAGGGCTCATTTTCTGAAATGACATTTAAGTTGAGATTGGAGGGTTTATATTACTTAGGAAGGAGAGGGGATGTCTTAGTGGGCTGCCGTGACAGAATACCATGGAGTGAATGTCTTAAACACTAGAATTTATTTTCTCATAGTTCTGGAGGCTGAAAGGTTAAGATCAAACTGCCATCAGGGTTAGTTTCTGGTAACGGTCTCCCCATCGAGGTCTACCTCACTATGTCCTCACAGAGCCTTCTGTGTGTGAGGGGGGAGTGGGTTGGGGATCGAGTGGAGAACTCGTGCTCTAATGTCTCTTCCACTTCTTAGAAGGACACCAGCCCTGTTGAATTAGGACCTCACCATTTTGACTTTGTTTGACTTTAATGACCTCCTTAAAAGCTTTAGCTCCAGAAGTAGTCACATTGGGGTTGGGGCTTAAAATTGGAGGTAGACACATTTCAGTCCATAACAGGGAGAAGGAGAGTGGTCCAGGGGGAGTAGTTTAGGAAGACATTGTAGAGGCAGGAAAGTGAGGGGGTTTGAGCATGAGGTACGTAGAGTGTGAGGGCCATGCTGAAGGCTGAGATAGAAACAAGAGATGCCTTGACTTGAACTCTTTCCAGAGTAAGAAATCTTGGGTACTTCTTGTTTTAAACTTTGATATTACAAAAAGAGGTCTGGATTAAGAGTAGAAGATCTAGAGCTTAATAATTGAGACCTTGGGCAAATTGTTTGGAGCCTCAGTTTCTTCAACATAAAAATAGAAATTAAAACCCTTAACTTCCTGGCTTATTGGATTAGATGAGGCAATAACTGAAATGTCTTAGAAACCAAAAGCTATACAATTATTGAGGATTTTTTAATCATTCACCAAACCAACTCATTTTTCCTACAAAAACTACATGAATTTATTATCCCTCTGGTTTTTTTTTTTTGTTTTTTTTTTTTTAATATTTTATTCATTCAACAGAGAGAGATCACAAGTAGACGGAGAGGCAGGCAGAGAGAGAGAGAGAGGAGGAAGCAGGCTTCCTGCTAAGCAGAGAGCCCGACGTGGGACTCGATCCCAGGACCCTGAGATCATGACCTGAGCCGAAGGCAGCGGCTTAACCCACTGAGCCACCCAGGCGCCCTATCCCTCTGTTTTGTAACTCACACACTGAAGGCCTTACCTGGACCCCTAGTCCTCTCCATATCTCTTCTAGTGCCTCTAAGCCCAATATTCTTCACTGTTTTCCCCTCTAAAACAAATTATGCTCTTTTTAGAATTTAAAAAAGAAAAAAGTCATGACACTGTTTTTGAAAAATGTTCTTGTTATTCCCAATTATCTTATTTTTTTTCTGTCCTGTGTTCGTCTTAAACAAATGCTTAAACAGAATTATTCTCAAGCCTCCACACGGCTGCTGTGCTTCTCAGCCCCTGGGACATTTTCTGCCATCGTTCACATAACCTCTGAAATTCTGCCTTTTTATATACTAATTTTCTGACTGACTCAGAAGTGGTGATTTTCCCTGGAATTGGTCACTTTATTTTCCATCACACCCAAGGGGCTTGTTATTTTGTGCAGAATATATATGTACTTAATACTTTTGTATATGTGTTTGTGAGGTATAATATAAAGATGAGTATTTTTTCATACACCTCAGAATTTCAACTTAAGTCAATGTGGTCCCTTGAGAAGTGACATACTTCGCATCCATGAGATTTTATATTCCTCATTTCCCATGGCTTTTATTTTTTTTTAAGCCCTCAATTCCTTATATATTGAAATAATCTGGAAATTAGAAAAAAGAATAAAAAATGTTCATAAGGAAATGAGACTTATTGAAACAGTTTCACAGCTTATCAGATGTTCTTATTTTCTCTTTATTTATGTGGCTTTTGCTTTATTCAAACGGAAGCCCGACCAGGTCATTATAGATGTATGTTTCTTAGCATTTAATGAATATTATGGAAGAAATTGCTATTAATTGTAGTGGTAGCACAGAATTTAAATTGCTTTCCAGAATAGAAGGGAGAATTAAGACAAACAGATAATGGTTCCTAAGGCTAGAAACAGATAGTCGCCAAGCTCCCTTCCTAATGCAGTTACCTATTTATTTTCAGTCTTGAAACAGTGTGGCCATTTGCAGTAAAGTCACAGAGTTCTTTTCATGAGAAGACGATCAATATAAGTAATCATTTAAGGATGAAGGTGACCAAGCTGTGATCAACACTAGTACTTGAAGTACTTGTAAAAAAACAAAAAAACAAAAAAACAAAAAACCATGAGTTGGCTTTGCTTAAATTTCAGAAAATAAAATATTAGTACACATAAACACATTATCTCTCAGCATTGAAAACTTCTCATCTATAATTTACCTCCTTGCTAAGAATAAAAGTGTTACTTAAAGGTTTATTGATTTTTTTTTTTCCCAGAAAGAGATTTCATGCCTAAGATTATTCCATTTTTCCATCTGTGCTCTCTATACCACCACCTAGTGGAGGAAATGCAAGTTTACTGTCAATTAAAGTCAGGAAGAAAATGAGTAAGATGAAATTTATCCCACATTTCCATGATGATGAGGTATTGCTTCTAGTATAACGCAGGTTGTGAAAAATACATGAGTTAAGAGTGATAAAATTTCAGACATTTGTGTGGTTTTTAATAAAATGCTTATCAGTTTGTCCACGAATAAGCTATTTTATTCAGAAACTTAGAGGATAGATAAATTACTGAGGTTTTGTGCTGCAGATTGGATTTCCAAGTTGTGTTGGGAAGTTTCTCTTTATTACTCAAGAGGAGGGTCCAAAACCTTTTCTTTTTAAGTATTAAGCTTCAAAGCTCCTCTGACATGAATGTATCATTGTAATTTACTTAACCTGATAGGTGCATAAAAGTGTGGAGAGAAGTTAGTCAATTTTTATCAAAGCTGGGAAGAAAGACAGGTATGTATTATTATTCTGAAGTTTTGGGGGACAAATAAAGCTTTAAGGCTCTTCCCTCATTACTGGTAGGGGAATCCTGTTCAGTCCCAACTAAGAACAAATCCAAGCAAGTGAAAAACCAAAACCCATTGTTGCTTGCTGACTCTGGCCATCCAAGCCTTTCTCGGTCTCATGTTCACATGGAATACAAATGGAATCATCTTCCCACTTTTTTTTTTTTTTTTTTAAAGATTTCATTCATCCATTTGACAGACAGAGATCACAAGTAGGCAGAGAGACAGGCAGAGAGAGAAGAAGGGAAGCAGGCTCCCTGCCGAGCAGAGAGCCCGATGCGGGGCTCGATCCCAGGACCGCGGGATCATGACCTGAGCTGAAGGCAGAGGCTTTAACCCACTGAGCCACCCAGGTGCCCCTCATCTTCCCACTTTCTGAGGGTTACATGCCTTTTGGAGGACATCAGTGTGCACGTATACAAATACATTTTTTATGCCCATGAATATTTTACTTACCCGAGTTTTGATGATCTGGGCATAAGTAGTGAGTGGGGGCTTTGGGAGGGAGACAGAATAAAATTCAGAAAAAAAAAATACCTCCAGACCCACTTTAGTCAGTTCATCAAGCAAACAAAATGGTCACACACGGTCAGCTGGAGTTGAGTCCCTTCTTAATTCTTACCATGACAGACTCTTAACCACCATCTAGGCAGACACCACTCTGCTGAAGAACAGACGTAGCATTTTTTTATCCTGAGACTGTCAATGTAATAGTCCTGGGCTCGTTTTCTTATTCCCAATGGTCTTGAATCACATAGAATAGAGCAGCAGCCTCTTTTGCCTTTATAATACATAACCTCAAAGCTTTCAGTCTTTCCATTTTCCTCCTTAGTAAACAACTGAATAATTACTTATAATTGTTTTGCGCTGGAGACAACATAGTTTTGCGTGGTTGGCTTATGCTTTCCCAGTGTTTGTGGGGAAAGACCATGTTCTATCTTTGTCATTCATGACTCATGTTCCTCAGTCCTTCATCCTCTGGCTTTTTGGGGAATCTCGATCTCATCTAGTATCTTCGCCTGCTGTGAAGCTCCACTCTTGCCGTCTCCTGTCTGTGACCATGGGGTATAGTAATGGCACACTCACCTATACCCACCACCTGTCCCCCCCACCCGCCCTGGCATGTCTTGAAGCTGTTAGTAATCTGTGAACACAGAAGGGGAAGTTAGAAAAGCAAATATTGCATTTCCTCTCTAGAGACAAAAATCATGTCTGGGTTCTTCCCTTTTTCAATTCTCAGTCAATGCAAGGTGTTATAAAGCTGGTTGTCAAAAACATATTTCTCCTCTCAAAGCCCTCCTCACAAAAAGTTGTGATAAATTTCTTTTTCCCCTAAAACCGTAACTCAGAAGGCAAAGCAAAATGGATCCTTCCTCAGCACTCCGGCCTTTGTGTTTGTTCTTAAAGGACCATCTGGCTTTGTGTAACTCAACTTGAGAAGTAACAGCCCCCGTGCTCAGACAGCCCCTCTGGGAGAGAGTTACAGATCTGTTCTAGACTTTAAGACTGGTGTCTCCATTTACATTAACAGTTGTGTGTACTTTTACTCCATCACAGCCTTCTCTTGGAGTCAAGAAGCCTACCAAAGCCCTGCTCTTTGTAATCTTGAGCCCAGTGGGGCCTTATTTTTCAAGTGGAACCTTTAAGCCGGTGTCCCTTTGGGCCAATCCGAAGTACGTGAGAGCCTGGAAAGGTGGGACTGGGGACTGCAAGATGGGAGGGTAAGTGAATCTGTTTCTGATGAAAGTTAAGAGTCCCTCACAACCTTTCAATTATCACCATCTCAAATCAGTCCAAGTACATATGTTAATATTCAAATTGAAATGCCCTTTTTCTGTTTTGTGTTTATTCTTCAGTGTTAAATTGTGCTAGTTCAGGGACACCTGGGTGGCTCAGTTGGTTAAGCATCTGCCTTCGCCTCGGGTCATGATCTCAGGGTCCTGGGATTGAGCCCCATGTCTGGTTCCCCACTCAGCGGAAAGTCGACTTCTCCCTCTCCCTCTACTGCTCCCCCTGCTTGTGCTCTCTCTCTCTCTCAAATAAAATCTTTAAAAAAAAATTGCGCTCATTCAAAGGATCACCTGTGACCCTTTATAAGGGAGAACCACCGAGTGTTATACAGCAGCAAGAACTAAGATAAGTAAATTGGGAATAACACGAATGCTTTGAATTCACTGCCCCTGGAGGCTGGTGCTCTAGCTGCCGGCAGAAAGGTGGCCTGAGAGAGCATCTGCTGCTGGGGCCGAGGCTCTCCGCCGGCTCCAAGGAGTCCTGTCTGGGGAAGGTGCCCGCTTCACTCAAGTGCTGTCTTCATTGCCACAGATTGTAGCCGTACCTGCTGCCAGCTGGCTGAGGGACAGCCCTGCTTTGGCTCTGTCAGGCCAGTCTCATTGGCCATATGTAGCTGGCTGGAAATAAAAGAGCATTTGAAAAGTGTTAGACAATTTCAGGGGTGGACTTGGCCATGAGCAGAGAATGCCCCTCTGGGTGAGCCTGAATAGCCAGATTCACCCGGGGGCTCTTCCTTTGTGTACATTGAGGCAGCAGTAGGCCTGGGAGGTGACGCTGTGGTGACTTCCGGGCTTAGGGAAAACATGCAGACTCAGGGAGACCTGGGAGTGTCTGGCGATGTATGGCTAGGATATGAGAGAGATGTTGACAGCTGGGTTTGAACCCTCTGTTGTCCCTCTGTATTTTTTTTTTTTTTTCCTTTTCTACCAAAAAGAAAAAAAAAAGGTTAGAAAATTCTGGGTCCTGTCCTCCCTGCATTTTTAGCAGCTGCATTCTCTCAGTAGCTAGAGAAATCCTAACGATGTCCATTAAACCAAGAAGTCCCTTTTTTTTCCTTTTAGCATGGAGCACTCCTCCCTGATGGTGGGCTATGCTAGTCAGGTTGAAACAACTTCTTTTGGCTGTTTTCTTGATGTCTTTTTCACCTGTTCAGACTTCTTCACACGGCATAGACACCCCTGACACCACATGTATCACTTTGTGAGAACCTCCCCTAGAGTTCACCTTATAGTAAATCCGTCTTTGATGAAGAGGTCCTAATAAGCTCCTTTTTCCTCTTTGAATCTTGCTTTCTAGCTCCCCCTACCTGCCCAGGATAAAGGTAACATGGGAATGTTGAGAGTTACAGGAAAATTTAGTTTTAGTGTTGGGGACAGTTTGTAACTTTTTATAAAGATGATATAATGCAGTATGAACAGAATACATGATCACTAGAGGCCAATTAAAAAACTGTTCTTCTCTGTACAGCACGAAGAGTGAGCCCTACTGTTACTATGGGCTTCAGTTAATATTAGCGAATCAGTATTGGCTCATCAGTCCTAACAAGTATATACGAATGTGAGAGGTTAACAGGGGAAACTGAAGTGGGAGAGAAGACACGGGGGAACTCTTTTTGCTCACTTTCTCTGTAAACCTAAAACTGCTATAAAAAATAAAGTCTCTTATAAAAAAAAATTAATACTTGGACTCATTAGGCTCAGGTGGGCCATGATCCGTGGAAGTTGGCATGAAACCTCTTAGAGAAGAGAATATTGCGTCTTATAAATAAAGCAGGAATGACAAGTGAGAAGGCGGTAACCCAAAGGGGGGTCTTTTAACCAAAGACGTGCAAGGGAAACACAGGATTCTTCATTTAGTATCAACCTATTTAGTTGGCAAAGACATTTGGCAGCCCCCTTAGATTTTATTATTGCTTCTTTTTCTAAACCAATTAATTCAACAATTACCTTCCAAGTTTTTTAGCACCTCTGTAGTTAGTTGACATTTATTAAATAGCTATTGGTTTTCCTCAGCTTGAGAAAATTTCTGCCTTCCCAGTTAACCTAAGGAAGAGAAGGATTTTTTTAAAGATTTTATTTATTTATCTGACAGAGAGAGAGAGACAGTAAGAGAGGGAACACAAGCAGGGGGAGTAGGAGAGGGAGAAGCCAAGCAGGGAGTCCGATGGCGGGACTTGATCCCAGGACCCTGGGATCATGACCCAAGCCGAAGGCAGACACTTAACAATTGAACGACCCAGGCGCCCTGGATTTTCCTTTTATTCTAAGATTATTCCACTTCTTTGAAGCCTTCAGAGATAATGTTATTCTTTTATATCTAAATATGCATAAATGAGAGAAGTCATACAATGGCACGCAGCTGAAGGAAAGCTCTAGCACCATGGTTCTCACCTTGGTTACAGATTAAAATCAGCTTTACCAACTACTCCTCTCTGGGTTCCATGGTTAGAGCCTAAGTAAGCATCGGATTTTTTTTAAATTTTATTTAAATTCAAGTTAGTTAACATATAGTGTATTACTGGTTTCAGGGGTAGAATTCAGTGATTCATCAGTTGCATATAACACCCTGTGCTCATTTTGTCAAGTGCCCTCCTTAACATCCATCACCCAATTACCACATATCCCCCCACACCTCCCCTCCAGCAACCCTCAGTTTGTTCTCTATAGTTAAGACTCTCTTAGGGTTCGTTTTCCTCTCCAAAATCTTGTTTTATTTTTCCTTCCCTTCCCCTATGTTCATCAGCTTTGTTTCTTAAATTCCACATAAGACTGAAATCATATGGTATTAGTCTTTCTCTGACTGACTTATTTCACTTAGTGTAATACCTTCTAGTTCCACCCATGTCATTGTAAATAGCAAGATTTTGTTCTTTTTGATGGCTGTGTAATATTCCTGTGTGTGATTGAGGATCTTCTTTATCCTCAATCAGTGGATATCTAGGCTCTTTCCATAATTTGGCTATTGTGGATATTGCTGCTGTAAACACTCGTGTGCATGTGCCCCTTCAAATCACTATTTTTGTATTCTTTGGATAAATACCTAGTAGTGTAATTGCTGGATTATAGGGTAGTTCTATGAGCATCGGAATTTTTTAATGTGAAAACAAAGTTGAGAAACACTGAGTTAGAAGAAGGTCTTTCATCATTGGAGCATCTTTATTCCTGATTTCTTAGTTTCCTTGTTAATATGGAAAGAATTGGCCCTGCCCCCACTCTAAATTAATTAGCTAATTAATTAATTTTTACTCTTATTCTGTATTTGAATACAAGCTTTGAAGTCAGTTAGACCTGGCTTAAAAACCTTACAGTCTTGAGCTATTACTTAACTGGTTTCAGCCTCCTTGTTTCTTCATTTATAAAGTTAGGACAGTAATACCCAGCTTACCTGTGAGGCTGAAGCAGGGCACTATGAAGTGCCTAGGACCATGTGGTTGGCTTGTAGAAAGCTGCCAATAAGTGTGGTGCTATAACCTGGCAGTGAACAGCATGGGCTTGGCACTCAGAGATATCTGAGAATCCTACGCTTGTATCTGTGTGATCCTATATTACTAAGTACCCTCTTCCTATAAGTCCTCCAAAGTATAATAAAGTCTAGTGTTGTTTTAAGATGTTTCATTGAAATAATGGACTTAAGTACTCAGTACCCTGCCTGGCAAGTACTAAGTATCCTCTTAGCAGACAATAGTTGATATTATGAGGCTTGCTTGCTTTCTCATTTCATCTCCTGGACCCTGCCTTAGGAGCAGTCTCTTGGATTTCACACAATAGAATTTACTCTTTTGGACAGATGTATTTAATCTATCTTCTCCCAGATTTTTATTCTGGGAGAAGATAGATTATGTACAGTTAAAATTTTTCTGTATAGACAGTTGTCCAAATTTTTCATTTTTCTCTTTCTCCCAAGGACATGTGTTTCTTTCTTTCTTTTTTTTTTTTTTTTAAAGAATTTATTTATTTATTTGACAGAGATCACAAGTAGGCAGAGAGAGAGGAAGGGAAGCAGGCTCCCCACTGAGCGGAGAGCCCCGATGCGAGGCTCGATCCCAGGATCCTGGGATCATGACCTGAGACAAAGGCAGAGGTTTTAACCAGCTGAGCCACCCAAGTGCCCCAGGACATGTGTTTCTTTTCTGAATATTGGTGGCATGTGGGAGGGAATCCAAATATATTATCAAAATATTAATGACCCTGTGGATATTAATAATCCAGTTTACACCTGAGAGAGATTTTGAGGAAGAACTCGGTTAAGGAAAAATACCATCTATAGAATATAGTAATCAATCAACCAAATAAGCACCAAACAAATAAAAACCCTTTTTCTTTCAGTGTATAGAAATGGTTGAGGTCCTTAATTCTCTTTCTTGTCCAAGTAGCTTCATGATGCTAAGGAACCATGGTTTTAATTCAGCTAACATTCTCAAAAGTGTGCATGTGTGTTTTTTTAGAAACTTCTTGAAAAGGCTAGTTACTCATGCTATGAAAATTCTCATTTTAACGAAGAACATTTTTTTTTTAAGATTTTATTTATTTATTTGACAGACAGAGATCACAAGTAGGCAGAGAGGCAAGCAGAGAGAGAGGAAGGGAAGCAGGCTTCCAGCTGAGCAGAGAGTCCGAAGCAGGGCTCGATCCCAGGACCCCAGGATCATGACCTGAGCTGAAGGCAGAGGCTTTAACCACTGAGCCACCCAGGCACCCCAACGAAGAACATTTTATGAGAGAAATCATTAAAGTCTCAGTGGCTGTGTCTATGAACTAGGCAAAAGTCAATTGAAATAGAGGAGTGTTTTGGGTTTTTTTTAGGATTTTATTTATTTATTTGGCAGACAGAGATCACAAGTAGGCAGAGAGGCAGGCAGAGAAAGAGGGAAGCAGGCTCCCCACTGAGCAGGGAGCCCGATGCGGGGCTGGATCCCAGGACACTGGGATCATGACCTGAGCCGAAGGCAGAGGCTTTAACCTGCTGAGCCACCCAGGTGCCCCGAGGAGTTATTTTTTTTTTAAAGATTTATTTATTTGTTTGTTTATTTGAGAGAGAGAAAGAGAACATGGAGTGGGGTGAGGAGGTAGACAGTAAGAGGGAGAAGCAGACTCCCTGCTGAGATCTGGGCCTCCAGGATCAGGACGGGAGCCAAAGGCAGTCACTTAACCAACTGAGCCACCCAGGTGCCCTAAATGAGTTATTTTTTTGGAAAAACTTGATTTTATTAGGCTGTAAGAGGCTCACATGAGCTGTTTCTTAGCTTTTATTGTTATTGCTTCATTTTTTCCAAATAGCCCATGCAGTGTATAAAGTATTCTTATTTGCCAGATGAATCCATTAAGGCAAAAATATGAACTGACTCACTTAAGTGCACACGTAGCCAAACAGTAGAAGTTCAAGAGCTGTACTGAAGTCCACTGGCCCCAAACCCATGCTCTTTCTAGTGGACTCCTGCTGAAGTCTCATTTATCTTCCATTATTGAAAAGTATTCATAATTTTAACTCCACTGTTGCTTATTTACCATTAATTCTGAATCCGGGTGGTCCAGCTTTTTATGGTCATCAAACAAAACCTCCTATATAAAGAATTGTATCCTCTCTAGATTGGCTGATAATTTTCATTTTATTATCTGCATTTTGAAGTTCTCTTTTTTTTTTTGAGATTTATTTATTTTGGGGTGCCTGGGTGGCTCGGTGGGTTAAAGCCTCTGCCTTAGGCTTGGGTCATGATCCCAGGGTCCTGGAATCAAGCCCCGCATCGGGCTCTCTGCTCAGCGGGGAGCCTGCTTCCCTTTCTCTCTCTCTGCCTGCCTCTCTGCCCACTTGTGATCTCTGTCTGTCAAATAAATAAAATTAAAAAAAAAAGATTTATTTATTTTAGCAAGACAGAGAGTGAGCACGAACAGTGGGAGAGGTGAAGGGGGAGAGAATCCCAAGCAGACTCTGCACTGGGTTTGGAGCCCCTTGTGGGGCTTGATCCCGTGACCCTGAGATTACAAGATAACGACCTGTGCCAAAATCAAGAGTCAGATGCTCAACTGACTAGGTCAACTAGGTGCCCCATTTTGAAACTCTTTTAATGAATCTTACCTGACCTTGATGTGAATAAATTCATGACCCATGTAGCCATATAATGTAAGGCCTATTTCCCATAGTTTTTCTAGAATGTTTTAGTTATTAGTCAATATTCTTGGAGTTGCAAGTCAGAAAACCAACTCAGGGGGTGCCTGGCTCGCTCAGTCAGTGAAACGTGTGACTCTTGATCTTGGGCTTGTGGGTTCAAGCCTCACAGTGGGTGTAGAGATTACTTAAAAATAAAAAATTAAAAATTAAAGAAACAGACTCAAACCATCTTAAGCGGGAAATGAATTGAGGGGCTCATGTATGTAGGATGGCAGCGGTGGACCCACTAGGGGCTCAGATCATTGTTGCCAAGTCTCTTTTGCCCTTGTGTATGTCCTACTCACCCGCTATCCTTCTACCCAGTCTGTTGCTCTCTCTCGCCCTTCCCTTCTGGTTCTCTCTCCCTCCATCTCTTGTGGTAGCTTCTGCCTGTACGTTAGCCTCGGGCTCTCCTATTTCAGATGCCTTCTCCTGTGAAGGGTAGTGATCGTGAATACAATAGATGCCAGGCTTATGTCAGAGCAAACAGGCTGCCATTACCCCCAAAGGGTAAAATAACATCTTTCAGTTTCCCTACATTAAAATGAATGAGTGAATCACTCAAAGAAGGGCTTCTATGAGCAGCTACATGCCCACCCTTTAATTCAGTTGTGTAGGGCAAGGTATAATGACTTCCAATCAACCCAAGCAGAATGACTTGGCTCCAAAGGAGGGCCCAAAGAAAATATAGTGGGATGAAAATGGCAGACAGCCACAGTGAATGGGGCTCTAGTGCTTAACTGATACTTTTAATTAGACATTTTGATCCCAACCAAATGTAAAAGAGGCACTTTAAAAGGCCTAGGTGGGTATTTTGTGGACGCTGACGTTAATGCTTTGTAGTAGTTATTGTAGTATTTTGTTTCCACGTGCTTGGGGTGGGCGCCATAATCCAACGGTGGGTTTAGGTTTCCTTTCCAAGCCCTCAAACTTGTTTGCTAATATCCTGTGAAAACCGAGGAAAGTGAATTATACAACCAGGGGCTTAGGGAGGCAAGCAAACATCATATTTATTTGAGGACTCTTATGTTTTATCTAAAACATTCATCCGCATGTTGTAATATACTCCATAATTTAGTCTGTCTAATGAGTTTCCTTTAATGTTATGCAGTTAACTAGAGAATATACATGCACACACATATAAAGGGCATGGTGCACTGACTACATCCATATACAAATTAAAGATCTGAGGATTTTAGTAGGGAAGATAGCATAAGAAGGGTGGTATATTCACAGTCAATATGTTTTCTCTTTCTGAAAAGGAATTACGGCTCATCCCTTTTTGCCCAATGTGAAGCCGCGGATCACGGCTGTCAGCAGGTTCTGTGGCTCTATGGAGAAGATAATCAGATAACTGAAGTTGGAACTATGAATCTTTTTCTTTACTGGATAAATGAAGATGGAGGTAATTCACTCCGATTTCAGCTCTTTGCAATTTGTCAATCATTTTAAATGAGGCTGGAGAAAAAAGAACGAGGACCTTAGAATAAGGAATAAGTAGCATGAGCCAAAAGGCTAAGAACTACTGTGCTTTTGTTGTTCAAGTAGAAATGAGTGTAAATTCACAGAACTGAGAAAAGTTTTGTTTTGGGGTTTGGGCTCTAGATGTGCTTATTATGGAGATGTCAACTTAAGGAATTTAAATCTCCATGATTTGAAGATGTGTTGCCTTATTCCCTCTGCTGTCTTCTTACCCATTTTCCTATCCAAAATCCCTTGCATCAGTCTCAGATCAGTTCAGTGGCCATTCATCATATGCTATAGGCTGAAAATGCTGTAGTTATAAGCATAGTCTGCTGATTCTACTGATAGGACATTTAGTGTATTTTCTTGCTAAAAGTCATGTAACAGTTGTTGCCCTTTCTGTATATTTTGATAATATATCAGAAATCTTCCAGGTTTACTCTGGAGCTCAATTTGATTAAAACACACTATTTTTAAGGGCATATTGGTCCATTTTGGGAATTGTACTTAGATCCTGGTTCATTCAAGACTTAATATGTGCTACTATAAAAATCTGTATTTCTTCATTGCTTTAAATATCCTGAATGCTCAGTATCTTTCTTTTCTATTTTTTCGGTTAGTTGGCAGAGACCATAGGGGTTTAGCAAAATGTTGACAATGTCTATGGTATTGGATGAAATGACCAATAATGGGGGACAATACATATATATGCATTTGTTTCCATTAGAATTTTAATAGTCTTAAAAGTTTAAAAACATCTTTTTAGGCTTGTTTAAGTTCTTAGGCTGTTCATTTCACAGTAGTAAGTATAGAGACTAGAGATAAAAGTTTCCAAATACTTGTAAAGTCTGAGTATTCATTTCAATTAAAATTTTAAGTGAACTTTTTCTTTTAAAGTAGCTACAGTAACTTCTATTGCTCTTTTGGGTTTTGGCTACTTATAGAGGAAAATGGTGATTCAGATGTGGCTGACTTCAGAGCTATGCACTAATTTGAGCATTAGTTGCAGAGACTAATAGATGAGCCTTATATTCCAGTCAGTTGTAGAATAAACAGGTGTGGTGAGTACACCTTGTCCTTGGGTTGGCCGTTGGTAATCCTTGGCATTTGAAAAGCCAGATGCAGATCATGCTGATTCTTCCATTTCTGTTCTTTGTACTTGGCACTGTTTAGAAACAAAATTTATACTGGAATATTTGTGATTTCTAAATTTGGGTCATTACAAATGACATATATTGAAAGCTATGCTTGAAAGATGACAGCCAGTGTTACACTCTGTATTTAGGAGAAAATATATTGATTCAAGTCCTTTCTATCTGCCGACTCCTACCTCCAAACCTCCTTCCCCCCAAAAAACCACACAACCCTAAAAAAAAAAAAAAGCAATTATATCATACAGAAGTGGTAACATCATTATTTATGGATGGGAGATGTCAGGATTTAAGTTCAGTCTGAATCAGAACTACACAATTTAAAACAGAAACACCAGAAACTTGTCCTGGTGAAAAATTACCCGTTATCCAAACAACAATCATGAACCATTTCCACTATGACTTTTAAAGGTCAGAATAGACATGAGTGAATTTGCCTTTTGGCTCTTAGAAAATATATCAGACCTTAGGAATTAACTGTTATGGTTGCCTGAGATGGCTTTAGTTTTAATGCTTTTTCAACGTGTGGGTGTTCACCTAACAGAGCAAATAAAATTTGAAATAAGGAGAAAAGAAGTACAATAAATGTTTGGACAATACCATGAGAGAAGTCAATAGAATGTCAAGAATAACCTTTGGGCTAAAAACAAAAGAAGACACTAAAGGAACTCTATAGTACCTTTGATTTATACCGTGCGACTTTTGGAAAATTCAAAGAATAATGGGTTGAAAATCAACAAAATAATATTGATTTTCACAAACTTTACCCCTCGGAGGTCTGAGTGGAGTCCTTTCAGTAAAAACCTGCCATCTTTCTATGAGCACACTCACTGCCCCTTTTGGACAAGACGGCTGCCCCAGAAAGGTATACCAAGTAAATAATCTGTCCTCAGAGCACAGTGCTGTGAACTGTAGCTATCCGTGGTACTGGGCCTGTAACTCATGTGATTTTGATTCTAGTAACAGTGACCCTGCGAGCAAGATCACATAGCACTGATTCTCTGCCTCACTGTGTTGCTGAGTAATTTACCAAACATGCTTACTGTTCACAGCTGGAACAAACCATTTTACCTTGCTCTGGTCTCTGGAGCTACCCTGAAAATAAGACCCAGTTGTGTGGCTGAGTTTAGAGTTAGTTGGGAGAATGATCATGGCAGTGAATGTTTGATATTGCTCGGTCTGCGTGGGCCCCATGAGCCTTCTCAGACATCAGGTATTTGTAGACTTTGTTTGTGGAGCCCTCCTCCCTCAGGTGTGTGCATGGCTTGCTCCCTGCTCTCCAGTCATTGCCCACATATCCCTTTCTCAGTTAGGCTTTCCTCAAGCATCTTAATAAATGGCAGGTTCCCTCCCCTATCACTCCTGGCATTTCCCTTTGCCTTCCCTCTTTTCTTTCCTTTTTTTTTTTTTTCTCCATAGTCTCCTATATATTTAACATAATACTTGTTTGCCTCTACCTATTAGAAAGTAAACAGGAATTATATCCGTTCTGTTCACTGCTATACGCACGGTGCACAGATAAGACAACTGCAGAGTGTAGGCCCTCAGTATATTATTTGTTGAATAAATAATCCTTGTGCTGACAGTGTTTGGGCACTACAAACCCTATACAAACTATAATTTAAAAAAATAATGAATTTTTTATTAGAAATTGACTTTGGGATGTCACAGATGACATCTGCCGTTACTGCTTCTAAATTCTTCATCTCCTACCAATTATTTCTTTGTCAAAAACAAGTTGTATTTGTAGGCTCTGTTTTCCTCATGTTGGGCAATCTGGAGCCAGTTCTGGCTCTTGTAAGCATGTTTGTGGTTGCCGAGGAAAATGAATATTTCTCACCCAAATGTTGTCGTGTCATCATCTCTGTCTGGCAACCAGAGAAACAGATGTTCTGTGCCTTGACCTTAGGCTAGTGGTTGCAGTTTTGGGTGTTAAGTATATTTCACAGAACTGCACTTGCCCATCCAAGGCCTCTGTTTTTATTTAACTTTATGTAGTCTTAGAGCTCAGCAAGCTTTAGGAAAGGTCCAGTTCGGAGGCGCTGGAAGTGTGTTTGTCTCTCGGTGTGGGGTCTGCGCGCACGTGCACACACACACACACACACACACACACACAGATCCCCACATTTATGTGTCCAGCTAGCTAGCTATCGCAACACACAGGTTTATTTTGAGATCAACACTTCTAAACATGACAAAAAGTAGCCCTAAGACCATTGCCAAGAACAAATTTTCTCCTTTCCAGAAAGTGGTTTTCAGCAGATGATTTTTAGAAACAAACTTCCAAAAAATCATACTGCTGTCTCCTAGGAAAAAAGGGTTATTCATTCATTCATTTATTTATTTTTTAATGCGGAAACACTTATTACGTACCACACTGGGCCAGGCACAGCACCAAGTTCGGGGGACACAGGCATGAATGTAGGGTTTTGGTCTTTCAGACAGCTTGTTTGTTGGGGACGTCTGGGGGAACCACAGGGGAGTAGGGGAGCCCCAACCACAGGATACTAAAAGAAAAGACAGTGGCCCCAGTGTTGGGACACGTAAGCTCTGATCCTGACTCTCCCCCGGTGTCACCAATCTTGCAAGTCATTTATGTTTAGAGAGCCTCTGTCTTTTTCTGGAAAGTAAGGATTGCATGAGGTGATTTCTGAAGTCCTTTTTAGCTACTTAAACTGGCTTGGGGGAACTTACGGATACCACTGTGATTTCTCCAGTTCTTGCTACCTGGCGATCCTTTCAAGCATACGCTGTTTATTGCTCTGCAAGTAAATGATAAGCAGCACATCTGTTACAAGGTTCAACATCTTTATAGAGTGATGATTTAAGGCTTAAATTTCCCCCCTAGATTAGACTCCTGGGTGCCAGATGTGGGGAGGAGAAGGGGAAGTTGAGTACCAGACTTTTCCTGTAAGGAGAGCTTGTGCGGTTGTCGGATCCCGCTGATTCTCGTAGACAGATCATCATACCGGCCCCCGTGTTGGTTAGTAATGCATGTGATCCTTCTCACAGTACAACAGTGTCTCAGCCTTGGCACTCCATGAATCACCCTTGGACTTATGTTTTGATCTTTTGGATTTCTTGTTTTCCTCTCTCTTTTTCTTTGTTAGCCACATCCATGCTTGAGCCTACCCTGAGCGTATTAACATTTGAGTCATAGAGGTGTGAAGTCAGTATCTCTCCCTCTTTGATGTGGATACTCCTCCAGGTTTGAAAATCATTATAGATAGGGATATCTCTAAAGGGCAGTGTAGAAACGGTGACCAACCTGAAGAGGCATACGTACTTACTGTCCTCCACGGGAGTCTCAGATGGTTTGGTAATGATCAGTGTTCCTGTATCCGATCTAGCTGCACGATCCTAATCACTAACCAGCGTTAATCCACGGAGGTAAATTTTGACTTCAGAAGGTTCCTCTTACTGTTTGGTAGTGGAACATCTTCTCAGTTTTTACTAGGCAAGGATACATTGAAGATGATTTGATGAGTGGCTTTACTTCCTTTTTCTTCCTCCTCCTCTTTTTTTTTTTTTTTTTTTTTTTAATAAAGATTTACCTGGAGTGTGAATTGATTTGGAAAGTTAGGTAATGCAGACCAGTAACATCATCTTCATGTTTATCATCAGCAAAGTTGCGAGAAACCGTTTTTTTTTAAGTGGCTGTTAATATAAGGCATGGCTAATGTTGTTCAAGTTTGAAAATATTCCAATTTCTAATTGACAGAAGAAGAACTGGCAACTCCTCCACTAGATGGCATCATTCTTCCAGGAGTGACGAGGCAGAGCATTCTGGACCTGGCACACAAGTGGGTGGGTGACTTTGACAGGAACAACTTCATAAGCATGAAACAAAAATCAATCGAAATAAGCCGAGCTTCGTGTCGAAATAATATTCTGTCGTTCCATCCAGTGTTATCTAATCTTTAAGTCTGAACTTGAGCGGAAATAACTCTTCCAGATGGACTGTCTTGGCAACAGCGCTAAATAAGTATTGTTTGTAGGAAGGGTGGAGAGAAAGCAGTTTGGCGAGTTATCCTAGTGAGGAAGTCTTCTAGTACTAATCTCACACTCTTTGCCAGGTGTCTCCTCCCAGCTCACCTGGTTTATATTCCACGTGCTACCATTTTGCCCGTCCCGAACTTCTCAAATCTGAGTGTGTTGTTTCTAGCCTGCAGTGATTTCTAGTTCTCCCCTGCCTCTGTTTATTCCAATGTAACCCTGCTAGTCAGAGAAATTAAAGAATTTTACTGACATATAAATGTTTACTAACATCACATTATTAGTTTGGCTGCCTTTTTTCTCCTTCCTTCCTGCCCCCCTGTCCTCCCCAATTCACATACATGCTTATTTTAAAGTCAAAACACTCAAGCGAATGTAGTTGTTTTCAGTAGAGCTTCTCATCCATGTGACACAGGCAAGCACGTTAAGCCATTTGGTATTGAAATGACATTTATAACATACTCAAGATGAATGTTGGAAGAGTTGGTTATCTGGCAAAGGTTCTTGGATGGAACTTTTGACCCATGTGTTGCAGTGGTCTCCAAGGGACATGGAAAGACTTTGAGCGCACTGTGGTCAAACAGTATTAATAGCACAAATGTTTAGAAACGCACGTATTATCTAGGAGAGGACTAGCATAGTTTCTCTGGAAAAGGCTTTGGAAGTAAAGGAAATGTGCTATAAATAATTCTACAAAACTCTGAAGTAGACAAGACCCAACTACCACATGCTGGCTGGCACATTGGGCATGACATTTGCAAACTGTTGGTGTAATTTCAAGCAGCTTGCCCTGTCCTAAATATGTTTGCAGTTGGAAAGATGCATTTTCGAAGCTCAGTAATTTTTGTTTTATTAAAGAAAAAAAATCAACCACGTACAGAAGGTTTGATGACAAGCTGCAAGTGGAAATGCTTTCCCACACTAATGATTTGCTAGCTCGAAAAATAGGTCATTATGGAGGAAGTTTTTCCTTGACTCCTCAGCTGTAATTTATTTTAAAAGCTATTTGAAAACAGTGAGACATAAATGCCAAGAGGCATGTGGGGGGTTACCATTACTTGCCAGACAGGGGAAATTGTCCAAAGATAAGTAAGGGTGAGCAGAGTAAAAACAATTCTGTTTATTTACAAGAGATTTTTTTTCTTTTCCAGAACACAGAGCTCATCTTGTTTTCAGTTAACTTGGCTGATTTTCTGGAATTTATTTATTTATTTATTTACCTTTGAACGACATAATTGCAATTGCAGACTGAGATAAATTGAAACTTGCAAAAAGCCATATTTCTATTGCAGACATATTTTCCTACCCTTTCAAATCATACTTACAGCATGATACCTTCTTCTTCTAATGTTTTAAATCTTGCCAAGGGCTGTGATTTTCATTTTTATCGTGGATCTGTAAGTCTTAAAAAATACTCTCATCTTATTAAAAAAGAAAGCAACAGAGAATTTTTTTTTTAAATAAGATGAGACAGGCTTTGAACTTTAACCATTAACATAAAAGAATGAGAATGAAACAGATTGAAGAATGAGTATTAAACAGATCGTTTAAGCAGATAGCTTAAAAACATCAGATTGTTTTTTTCATTTCCTATCTTCAAGCAAATAAAAGTTCAAATGGTTCGGCAGAAGCTGATGAGGTTATACCAATAATTCAGTGATGAAATCTGACCTAAGGAGATACTAAAGACAGGAAGAGGATTTCTGCTATAAAGTCAACTAAATCAGTGAATTTAGGAAGAAAGGAAATATACAGTGTAATTTCTCAAAGTCCAAATATACTTTCTATGTTTTAAAATAATGAAATATTTCAGATAGTGAAACTCAGTCTATGTTTTTACTCCATGAAAGACCCAGTAGAGATAGGAGGAAATTTGGAGCCAGTCAGATTGGACCTGAGTTCAAGTTCAGTTTCTTCCATTTAAGTAACTGTGTGAATTTAGAGATGTTATCTAGCCTCTCCTTGAACCTAAGTTTCCTCATCCATGAAATGGGGATGATAATACCCCCCTCAAAAGTGAGAGAATTTAGCACAAAATGGGTGCTCAATAAATGGTAGCTGTAATTATTAATATTATATGATACATTCTTTTATGCTAAATAGGGTTCAAGACACTCTTAACATACAGCGCACCCTAATTAGCTTTGGGTGTGCCTTATCTTGTGAGACTTCAGGCTTGACAACAAATAAAAGGCTAAGAAACCTGGCCTGTATTAGCATATACTATGTATTTTATAGTGATCGTCTTATTTTATTCTCTCTGATCATCTCATTTAGAAATGCTGTGACCTCAAGTAGGTAGCTCAACACCTCCATGTGTTTACATGGTGGTGGTGCTCCCCTCAGCTTTCCCTCACAGGACAAGTCTCACATTTGAGTTTAGTCAGAATATAGTGTAGGAAGGTAAGTACCACTAGGGTTTTTTTTTTTTGGGGGGGGGGGGTGGGTTTTGCATACCTTTTCCTTGAAAATACTAATGTTTTTATTTTTTATATTCCAAACAGGGTGAATTTAAGGTGTCAGAGAGGTACCTCACTATGGATGACTTGACAACAGCCCTGGAGGGGAACCGGGTGAGGGAGATGTTTGGCTCTGGTACAGCCTGCGTTGTTTGCCCAGTTTCTGATATACTGTACAAGGGTGAGGTAAGACTATTTCTTCACCTCCTGTCATTTCCAAGCATTTGCTTATAATTTAATCCTTTAAATGTGTAAATGAAATGCTAGTTGGACCCAAGATGCAAAGGATTTTTTTTTTTTTTTAATATGACTTGGCAGTTTGTCCCAAGAAACCTGTATTACCAAATTACTTACTCTCATCTTTCCAGTGATCTTGTGTGCGCTCCAATCTTGGGGGGAGTAAGCTTTGTCCTCAGACAAGTATCACATCTGCCTTATGTCGGTGTAGGGATTGGAGATGTGCCAGCAAGTTTCCACTCTTATTTCTTTGTAATAGCTCACTAAGAAAGTTCTACGGGTAGTTAGGTTTCAATTTCTGGCTTCCAAAAGGACTTCCAAACTACTGGAGTAGTAATGGGAAATTCATTTGAATGATCAACTCCTACATTTATTATTATTATCATCGCTGTTGTTGTCATTCCTACTCAGACTATTTTATGAAAAATTTTCATTTGGCAAAGTTGGCACACATGATAAAATCCTCCAAAAGGAATTCATTTGTTTAGTTGGAAAAAATTTTCTCTTCCCAATAAATTTAGTCTGATTTAGTATGTGGTATTTCCATTCTTGGGGGGGATTGTGGGTTTTGGGGTTTGGGGATTTTTTTTTGTTTTGGGTTTTTTTGCTTCCCCTTTAGGACAAAGCGCTGATATTTTTTTAAATTTTTAAAAGATTTTATTTATTTGAGAGAGAGAGAGAACATAAGCAGGGTGAGGGGTAGAGATAGAAGCAGACTACCTACTGAGCAGGGAGCCTGATGTGGGGCTCAATCCCAGGACTCCAGGATCATGGCTAGAGTTGAAGGCAAACACTTAACCGACTGAGCCACCCAGGCACCCTGAGCTCTGATATTTAACATCATCATCTTATAGCTTAAATGCATGTGGGTATTATTCTTAAGTGTGAATTGGCTTAAATTAATCATATTAAAAATAAATTAATAAATAAAAATAAATTTGGTTTTTAAATTTAGCGTAATTATTTTTCCTTAAAAGAAAAGTGATTTTCTTTTCTGATTTTAATGGTGGCTGCATCATTGCTTGAAATTTTCAAACTTGATTGTGAGGAATGACTTTTGACATGATTCCATCTATAGATTAATCGTTTCAATGGAGAAGAATTATGTATCAATACTTAAACTGATTATAAAGCTACTGTTTCACATTTCATTATGGTAGTATCTGGGTACATGTATCATTGGCCTGCTTTTTTAATAAACTAAAGTTGTCATTAAGTCAGATTTTTTTTTTAAGTCCAATTATTTCACCTCTAGAAATAAGAAGTTGATAAAGTTCAATGCATTTTTAATAGGTTTGTGTCCAAGGGCATTCATAGCTAACAGGTACATCTAATTATCCTGTTATCCCAAAGAGTATAAGAAGAAAAGTGACAGCATGGGCTCTGTGTGTTAAAATCAGACTATCAAAAGCCTGTAAGCCAGTAAGGGCAGGAATGGGCATGACTCAAATATAAATTAGGAGCATGAAATCTCTCAGCACCCAACGTAACCATGCTGTCCAGCATTGTGGAGGTTGTGGCCCTTGGAGGTCTGACCTTGAACAGACATAGGTTTAGTCTTTTGTGAAGGCATAGACTTGCTTCAATTTATGTTCCCGCAATGATTTGCTTTAATTTGTGGCAAAATATTTTTGAATTCTCATCCCCTGCCAGAAGGGTTAGGTGAGGAGGCCAATCATTCATCCTCCAGGTTCTCAGAATCCTGAAAGGAATAGGATTCTTTATGTCTCCCCACTATTTTCAGTTCCCCTAGTTTCTCTTTGGTTCCTCACATCAGCCTAAAGACTGGCATATAAACCAGTTGTGCCCTAAAATCCCTTGGTACACAAGAAACAACCTGTCATTGGCTAGTTTGTTTTTATTCTAATTCAGAATAAAAAAGAGTCTTTGGCATAAGGAGCTAGTCACGTTATCATGGTGCCATTCCTTATCTCAGTGGATATTGGATACAGTAGAATTGCTGAGTGTCTTACTTACTGGCATCGTCCACATGCATATCCTCAAGTTATACTGCATGTGGTTTTTTTTCGTAGACCATACACATCCCAACTATGGAGAATGGCCCAAAGCTTGCAAGTCGGATCTTGGACAAATTGACAGATATTCAGGTAAGGGCTTTCTCTTAAAATGTCATCTTATTTCAACCAGAGCTTAAAGCCATATCATGTATCAGTGGGGAGAAGAGAGTAGCAAGCACTGCCATTTGGGGTTAACAAATTAAGTTTATAGAATTAAAGCACAGAAGAAAACAATCACCTGTGCTTCCAATGCTGAAATATAACCATTGTTAATTTTCAATGTCTCAACTTTCAGTATTTTGTGTTTATATACTTTTAGATAATTTTCCTGACAAAATAGGGTCATACATGATTTTGTCACCTGCTCTTTTTTTTCACCTAGTAAATCATTTGCTTTTTCATATCAATAAATTTCTCAATTCCTTGTATAAAATGTAATTGAATTCCACTATATGGATGCACCACAACTTTTAAAGAGGTATTATTATTGGACATTTATGCTGTTGACAGTTTTTAACTGTTATGAACAGTGCGGTCTTTGATCATTTCCTTAGGATAAGTACTTGAGATTTTAACTGTTGGGTCAAAGAGTATGTGTGTGTGTGTGTGTGTGTGTGTGTGTGTGTGTATTTTTAATACTGTTAACCTTGTTCTGTTTATGTTTTTCTGAGCAACAGTTTACAGTAGTGTCTCATTAGATAGTTAAGCCTATTTCCAGGCAGGCATATCAAGTACCAGGTAGTGAATGCTGGGTCATATAAAAGAGACTTTTCTATAATTTGCAAACACCTTACAAGTTGTTGACGATTTCTCTTGAGCCCAGATATCATCACTGCCACTCACTGAACATAGCCAGGGGAAGCTGAGATTTATACTGAAATGTGAAATAAAGTTTGGTAATTTGGGTGACAGTTGGCAGTGCCAGGGCTTCAGCAAAAAAGTTGGTTGGCAAAGTAGCAGACCTCTCCAGAGTGAGGTCCTAGGATAGTGATAAAAATGGTATTTTTGGAAGACTTACTCAGCAACATTTATGCAAAATTAATAATATTAAAAGTTTTTGAATTAATGAACTATCGCTCTTCCCCTCTTCCGTGAAGGCTATTAAAAGGAATCTTCCATAAATGAAATAAAGGAATTTCTTAATATTAGGAGACATATAATTTACTGAGTTGTTTTTTACTCTTGTATATAGAGATAATTTGGAAGGAATTAAGTACAAATTTAATGAAAAATACTTGGATGTTTTAGCTTTTTTTTTACAGTTATCTGAGTAAATCTGATGAAAGTAGTAAGCTATTAGTGTTTTCATCAAATAAAAAACATAAGTAGAACAATAAAGTTTATAATTGGCTAGACTACGGAAGCATTTATCCACAACAGAAGTTGAAAGACTTTTAAGAGGGGAGGTAGTATCGCTATGGTGATAAGAAAAGATTACTTTGGAAAATTTTCTGGAACAAGTTGTATATAAGACAATGTTTCATTCTACTGAGGTTAATACACAAAACAAGAGATTTCAGAGTCACCTCTTAGAGATGATATGGGATACGAAAAGTTACTTAATTTGATTTGGTTTAACGGATTATAAGAAAAGGAAAAGAAGTTGACTAGGATGAGGGGGAAATCAAGCTGTATTAAATTTGAATCGGAAGAAAGAGCTAAGTAGAGGTGTTTGATGGACGTAATCATGAAGCTTTGGCTAAGGCAGGCAAAAGTGGAAGTGTGTGTCATCCCCAGTGAGATCATGACAAAATATATGCATCCAACCCCTAAAGTATAAGGAAGAGAGAAGCCCAAAGACATATTTTGGGGGCAAGATGACAAGCCATTACAAAAGTTCTCAGAGGATTTTTAAAGTAAGATTAGGACTGAAATGAATGCTCTAATTCATTCAGTAAATACATGTGTGGAGCAAACATTATGCAAGAGGCTGTTGTAGGTACTGGTGATGTAATAGTGATAAAAGGGATAAAAAAAAATTAGAGATGTCTAAGCTATAGAAAGACAAAATAAATATTCAGCTTAAATGGGAAACCACATGAATATGTTTAAAAATAAAAGATATATATGAAGTATATGAAGGAGAGAATGAGAAGAAACAACATTTTCCTCTTACCTGCATATATTCTCTATAATACCTGTGGCTAAGAAGAAATTAATAGGGGCACCTGCGTGGCTCAGTCATTAAGCGTCTGCCTTCAGCTCAGGTCATGATCCCGGGGTCCTAAGATCGAGCCCCGCATCAGGCTCCTAGATCAGTGAGAAGCCTGCTTCTCCCTCTCCCACTCCCTCTCCCCTGGTTTATGTTCCCTCTCTCACTGTCTCTCTCTCTGTCAAATAAATAAATAAAATCTTAAAGAAGAAATTAATAATTTCTCTTTTTATCCTAGGTAGTAAAGTATAATGGTAATAACACTGAAAATTAATGATACACTCAGAGCTCCTTAGGAACAAGGAAAGAAAGGGATAGTCACAGGATACATGAAGTAATACAATGATTCTAAATTAAACCACAAACCAGAAGGACCAACTCTCCTCCAAATTGTTATGTATACTACAAAGGACCATCCATTCAGAACCTAAAACCACATCCTTTTTCAATTATTTTATGCCTGTGAGCATGGAACCTAAAGTTTCAAAAGTATCCTCTTATAAGATGGCAAATTGGTGCTGTCAACGAAGCTACGGGTATCTGTTTCTCTCCAAGAAAAATAACTTAAGTGATTCTTAAGGAGAAAAGCATAGAATTGCTTCATGTTTTACTTTTGATCTCTTTGACATTACATGGAAACGTGGCCATTTCCTACAAAGTGCTCTGGTAAATTGAAGAAGAGGAGAAAAACAACAACCAAAAAACCCTCAAGATTCTTGCCACTGTGACCTGGGGGGGAAATTCTTCTTAACCACAGATTTGCTTTTCATTTAACTTGTGTATTTCTGTATCTGAGTAAGAACTTCTGAGGTTAAGCATTCATTGCATTTGGCTAATTTTCCATATAATTCCATGGGTTTTAGATTGCCCTACAAATACCTCTTGTGAGAGGAGCATTTCAAATGACAGTCTCTTTTTTTCTTTTTTTAAGCAACAAACAAAAACACTTTTGTGTTACTTATTTTTTTAATCTTGAAATCTATATATTTTTTTAATTTTTTATTTTTTTTAAGTGTTCCAAGATTCATTGTTTATGCACCACACCCAGTGCTCCATGCAATATGTTCTCTCCTTAATACCTACCATCAGGCCCTCCCAACTACCCGCTCCAAAACCCTCAGTTTGTTTCTCAGTGTTCACAGTCTCTCATGGTTTGTCTCATGGTACTTAACCAGACTTAAACTTGGAGAACATGAGCCATATTGCCAATATTTCTTTTCTCTCCCATGCCTCTTGGCTAGTCTGATTTCTCACCATCATATTCACCTATGTGCCTGACATTTGGGGTCTTCTCTCTTCTCCAATATGCTCTGCTCTCTGCTGCTTCTTCCCGCCTTCCTCTACCTTCTACAATCTGCCCACTTGAGAAGTTATTGGTTGTCCTTCAAGACACATCTCCTTGAGGAACCTTTAAAATCTCTTTGAACAACATCCCTCTGCCCCAGTACAAACACCTATTCATCCATTCAAATGTTACTTCTTCCTCCAGCTTCCATAGCACCTGGAATGATCACATATGGCCTTTAAATTATATTTAACTAGTCACACACTTGTCTTTGTTCCAGGTTGTTTCAATGTAAGCACCGTTTTATTTCCTTCTCGTAACCCCGATATTCAGTGCAGGGCCTGGGCTACAGTACGAACTCAGGGATGCTTCAGGCATCGATGAATAAAGGAATGAACAAGTGAGAGATATACCAGACAAATACTGAAGAACAGAAATGTGTTGCTCTTGTATGTCAACACATTCTGAGGAGAGGTGGGAGGAAGGTCTTGATTGACGTCGAATTACTTTATTTTTTTTTTTTAAGATTTTATGTATTTATTTGACAGAGAGAGAGAGAGAGAGATCAAGTAGGCAGGCAGGCAGAGAGAGAGGAAGCAGGCTCCCTGCTGAGCAGACAGCCCGATGCGGGGCTTGATCCCAGGACCCTGAGATCATGACCTGAACCGAAGTCAGAGGCCTAACCCACTGAGCCACCCAGGTTCCCCTCGAATTACTTTTTCAAGCGAACTTTCAGAGGCCCTGATTTTAGATTTTTTTTTAAGTGAAATACACATACCACAACCGCTATCAGGATCAGACAAAAGCTGGATACTGGGTCTTAGGTATCAGGACGGTGTGTTCGCGTAACTACTAGTGCTGCTCTTGAGGGTTTAGGAGGTGGGGAGTAGTGATTGCAAAGACTTGAGAGGTGAAGTCCTAAGTAGGTTAGGAAGAGGAAAGCCCAGTGAGATAGGAACAGGCTCTGTATTGATCGGAGGCCACCAGATGGAACTTCTTTCAAAAATCTGTTTTCCCCACTAGCGGCTACAGCTTTGTGGAATAAGTGACCAGTAGTGGTCTTGCATTTTTCTTGTTTTCAGTGGAACAGCGTGATAGTTTTTAGTTCCATCCCCATCACTTGCCCTTGCTGATGTCCTGAGTTGTCCTCCTCTTTGTGTGCAGACTAAGCAAACAGGGCCAGATTGCCTTGATGACTCATCCCTTGACCAGCTTCCCAGCCCCTCCTTGTTCCCGAATACACACTTCTCCATGTTCCAGGATTACAGAGCTTTGCAGGCCACTGAACAGGATTTAGAACAAGAATAGCAAATTGTTACCTGGGGGGTAGCCCCCATTATATTTTCATTGGCATCGCAGAGAGTAAATGCATGACACCTAGATCGCCCTTTCAAGTTCCTCAGAACTTTCTGCTGAAGGTAAAAGGCATTTTAGCAAAGGCCATGTACAATTATTTGCCATATGTACGTTGAATGGGAAGGAACGAATGTGTTGTTAGTTGTGTTTTGGTGTAGTGTTCTTCCTGGAATTCATGAAAGGTGAAATTTCTGCACATCACATAGTTAGGCTCAGAGTGTCACCCCCCCAGGCTCAGTCTGATTCGCCATGTTGCTTTAACTTCATCTTGGATTCCAGTGAACAAAGTCAAGTCAGTGTGACTTAGAGTAGACCTGACAAATGTTCAAGGTGTGGGCCTGTACTGTGGTTTTATAATCACCCTGACGATGCAATAAGGACAACCTCGCCCAGGCAGGCATGTGTTCTTTCCCCCTCTCTGGACACCTACTTCTGAGAAAAGAAGATAATTTCTATTTATTTTTTTTTAAAGATTTTATTTATTTATTTGACAGAGAGAGATCACAAGTAGGCAGAGAGGCAGGCAGAGAGAGAGGGGGAAGCAGGCTCCCCGCCAAGCAGAGAGCCTGATGCGGGGCTTGATCCCAGGACCCTGAGATCATGACCTGAGCCGAAGGCAGAGGCTTAACCCACTGAGCCACCCAGGCGCCCCAAGATAATTTCTATTTCTACAAAAATTTGTCTCCTCTGCTTTTGACTTATTTTGCCTTCAAAAATTAAATTGAATAATTTATCATCCAAATGAAAAGTTTGATTGCTAACTGCCTAGGTGTAGATATTACAAATGACCTGTATTATCACCTCTCTTGGATGCATCTCAGAATGCTGTAATTTACATAAAAGCATAAATTACAGGAGGCAAGGGGTAAATCTTAATATGATTATGTAGGTTCTTGGAGTGATATGACCTATGACTCATTGTAATCAAAATTGATTTTTGACTGTTTATAAAACTAAAACAACTAATTGGAAGCAAGTTTACTTTAACTGATGAGATTCAAGATGAAATTATGGTGGGCATGAATCACGGTAATACAGATCTGCTAAAGTGTCAATATGATGACACTCAATTGTTATTAATGGCGTAAGTGTCTAATGTATTAATTGGAATCCAAGTACAAGAAATAAAACATATTTTGATCCTAGCTTAAATCATGTTGGCACCATTTATCAATCAAGCAGAATTTGGGAATGTTTTATCCAGCATTCATCATGAATCAGCAGTTCATAGTGGGAAGCCACACTCTTTAAGCAACTCTTTCTCATAGGGATTCAGCAAGTCACTTAGAGTCATTGGGCTTCCTTCATTCTTCTTTTTCTGTAAACCAGAAGGTTGTAAGTAGACCCATTCTTGGCTTCCAAGATTTTTACCGACAAATTCTGCTCTTTAAGGTCTCTAAAGGTCTTCAAGAGGAGCATAGCACATAGAGTGTGTAACATAGAAGAAATAGCATTAAACAGAGGCAAGAGCCCTGGGCTTATGATTTAGAGTTTTCTAGAGCCATTTTAATGTCCTTATATGTAAAATGAGAACATTGGCTTAAAAGTTCATTGCTCTTCACACTTGATATTTTTTTAAGACTTTATTTTTATTTATTTATTTGTGAGAGAGGGAGAGAGAGAGGGAGTGTGAGTGGGGGACGAGCAGAGGGAGAAGGACACACAGACTCGTGCACTGAGCACAGAGCTACGCAGGGCTCAGTCCCACAACCCTGAGATTGTGACCTGAGCTGAAATCAAGAGTCAGACCCTTAACTGACTGAACCACCCAGCACCCCCACACTTGATTTTTAAGCAGCAGGATTTTCTACAAAAGAAATCTTTCCTGGAATCCCAATATACAAAGCCAATCAAAGTGGAATTGTTCTGAAGTAAAAATCCAGAGCCCTGCTTATTTGACTCATCCCCTGCATTTTATTTATTTATTTTTTTAAAAAAAGTTTCACTTTTGAGTGATCTCTACAACCAACATGAGGCTTAAGACCCCAAGATCAAGAATCACATGCTCTACAGACTGAGCCAGGTGCCCCAAATCCCCTACACTTTAGAGGATCATTAAAGTTCTTCCCAATTCAGAACTTCAAATGTTTTGTATGAATTTCAACTGAAGTTATATTAGGACTGAAAGGCCAGTTCATGTGAAAAGGGGACATCATGTGAGTGATTTAGGCAAGCACGTGGTGGCAGACATAATGGCATGCTACTCTGGGTGGTAGGGGAGAGATGCTCCAAGTCCGTCTCCACACACGTGGCTGTGTGAACATGTGGCGGGAATTCCAGAGAGTAGCCAAGAACACATAATTGGTGTGAGAGAGACCTTTGGCTAGAGTCCGGGCTCTACCATTTACTAATTGCCTGAGTAGGTTTTTTAATCTCCCTAATACAGTTTTCTTATCCATAAAATGAGATTGATAGTGGCACCTACTCTCTGCACTTGCCATGAGCATAAATTTAGTATTAGGTCTATAAAGCTCTTGGCACCATTGCCTTTCCAGGCAGTACTTGCTCAAAGAGTGAGAGTTCATTTACACGCAGGGATGTTGAAATGAATGAATGAAGGAAAGAACAAATGAATCAAAACTAGCTTTCTACTTCTGACATCTGGAATATCTTCATTTTAATTCAGTTTTAAGTATATGAAAATTCAGGTTTGCGAAAGCGAATCACTTGCTAATGCAAATAATCAAATTCTGATTACAATGTAGTTCCATAACTTTTGAAGGAATCAGAAAAATTGGGATGCTAACATAACACAAACAACTTTAATTTAGAGAACAGAGCTGCTGTTCAGTGCCACAGGGCTTGTCCAAATAATATTTTTCTCCGTGAACACAAAACACTCTTGAGAAAGGGGCTTTTAGAGCAGTGACTCTCAATCTTAGCATCAGAATCACCTAGAAGTGTTGGCTGAAGCCTGGTTGCTGGGACCCACCCCCAGACTTTTCTGAGTCAGTGAAGTCTGAGCTTGGGTTTGAGAATTTGCATTTGAAACAAGTTTCCTGGTGATACTGATGCTCCTGGTCTGGGGGATACACTTGGAGCATCACTTCTTCAGAGTAAAGAGGACAGTAATTAAATTTAACTCAGTTACTTTATTTGGACAGCAGAAGCTAAATATGGAATGGCAATAAAAAGACATTACTTCAAGACCTATACCAGCTATAAGTTCTGAGTTTAACCGTAATTTAAAAATTTGTGATTCTTTCCACATATTTGATGCTTTCTCTCTAATCCTATTTTTAATGTGAATATGCTTTTAATGTTCAAAACAGGAGCATACCTGTTGTACAATGTTGGTGGTATTAATGAATTTACAAGCGATTTCTGCACTGTTAGCTTTTGCACTTAAACGTGTTTTCTTGCTTTTTTGTTATAGTACGGAAGAGAAGAGAGCGACTGGACAATCATAGTGTCCTGAATGGAAAATACAGGATATCATCTGTGTGCTGTTGAGACAGACTGTTGCAACTGAATTACGACAGATTTCTTTAGTTACCTGTTTTTAGTTGTGCATAGTGTAGTTTGTATTGTCGGTGTTACCTGGGTGATTGTTTCCTCATGCTAGAGAAGACGAATTGCAATCAAGAGCTATTTTGTAAACTTGGTAGCAGAAGCTTACTTTACCTTCTCTTGGAAAGATGATCATGTAAGCCATATAGCATAGAATTTTCCTCAATAATTGTAGTGCCTCCCTTAATACTTTACTCAGATACACAGGTGTTTGTTTATTCCTTAGCATAAGTTACATTTTCCTCAACCAAATGAGTTTGTGTTTGAAAACTGATCTGAGTAAATTTCATGGGTAATATTTCCTATGATGTATCTTCATCTTCAGAAAATGGTTCGGTTGTGTTTTGTTTTGTTTTTCATAATTAAGACTTTGAAAAACTGGTTCTCTGCCCTCCACATTTTTTTTGCAGCCCCCCCGCAATGTCCGTCTCAAGGTAAATCTCTCCCCTTCTTCCTTCTTCCTGATGTTGTCACAGTCTGCTCCAAGTTCTACTTGTGCAGCGGCAAGACCTGTGCACATTTCCACCATTGCCCTTTCTGCAGTGTGTTATAATTGGCTGTTTGTCAGGCTTCAGTACAAGACGGAGGGTCTTGTGTCTGAGAGATCTTTGTGGTCCCCTGCCTGGCACATAATAGATACTCATTAAATAATGAATAACATTTAGCTTCTATAGAAGTGTACCACCTTTGTTTCTATATTATGAAACCTCTTTATTAGAATTCATGGTTGATTCTGACATTGTGCACACATACCTCATATTTTCTTTATTTTCCAGGGACTACTAAGTCATTAGAGATACTCAAAGACATAGCTTGTTGGAGGGCTTATTTCGTATTTGAAAACTGTCTTGAAATTGAAATAACAGCTCCAGCGAGGTCTTGCTATCATACCAACCAAATGGAAATGACATTTGTTAGGTGTTAAGTACAAAATAAATCCTCATCTCTAGCTTTTCGGTAGAAAGCAAAGAGGTATACTTTGCTTTTTTAGGTGTTCATTTCTCTTGAATGGGGATTGGATCATCACGTGATTAGGGTGCAGGGAGAGCAATTCTAGATGTTATTTTCCTCATTTAGGAGTTGTGAGTTAGAATTGATTCCTGGTTTATCTAGGGGAAAGTCAGATCTAGCTAGAAAACATTTACCCTTGGAAGGTCAACTCTCAGACATTATATTTTGGTTTCCCTCAGTTCCAATAACTTTCATCTTGCTGATCATATTTCATTCTCTTTTCAGAGGAAGGGGAAAAAAAAACATTCTAAAAGTTTGATGTGTTAGAAAAATTTCCTTAAGGCATTTAGCAGCACATAGCAAGTGGGGCTTTGATTCTTTTCCAAGACTTTTGGCCATAGGGTCCTTTTAGATAGGAATGGTAAAATGAAAATTAGGAAAGTATAAGATAAAAAGGAATAGTAAAAATATCTTTTGGGGGGCTTTTAATTGGTGAACTGAAATCTTGGAAGAGTCTGTTCTTTTCAGGCCTCAAGGACTTTAACTGTCCTCTACACACATTCACCAAATTCTAAGGGTATGCATTTGCCTTGGCTAAATCCTGTGACCTCGTTTTTAACTGAGTAGTCCAGAAAAGACTTAAAGGTAATTCTAACCTGTCAAGTAGCACTTAATAACTAGACTCACATTTCTATGACAAACGGAAATCATTTGTTTGCCATAAATACATTTTATACTTTGCATCTCTAAATTTAGTATGGCAACACATGTCCGTCGTAGAAGTTAGAGAACAATATGTCTTGACATTATGTCTCTATAATTTCTTTCATCAAACCTTAAGAGCATTTTAAGCCCTTTCTACCAGATGGAGTGAAAACGAAGGATATACATTTTAAAAAACTGGAGGTCTCCTAAAACAGAGAACACAATCTGCCATTCTCTTTTAAGTAATAAGACAGAAAATTGACCTTGACACTAACTTGTTAAATAGATTTAAAAGGAACATCTGCACATCTTTTTTCCTTGTGCACTATTTGTTTAATTGCAGTGGATTAATACAGCAAGAGTGACACATTATAACTAGGCAATTATCCATTCTTCAAGACTTAGTTATCCTAACACTAATTGATCATTTATGGCGTAAGATAGTCTAGCATTAGGAACATGTGAGGCTAATCTGCTCAAAAAGATCAACAAATTAATATTGTTGCTGATATTTGCATAATTGGCTGCAATTATTTAATGTTTAATTGGGTTGATCAAATGAGATTCAACAATTCACATGTGCATGAATATAAACAGAACTGGTGGCACTTAGAATGATAATGATTAACTTATTTTGCATGTTCTCTTCCTCCCACTTTTTTTTTTTTTTCAGTTTTTACATTTCAGACCAAGTTTGTCAGCTTTTTCCTAAACACATGGGTAGAAACCAGGATTTTAAAATGAAGTGTTCAGACATAAACAAAACTTGGGCATTTCCTAAAGAGACTTGCTGTTAGAAATGTTCTTGGTTACAGTGATTTATTAAGGATTCCATTCATGACGCACCCAAAGAACCAGCCACTGCAAGGGTATGCAGCTCACTCTCTGGGACCTGCAACCAGCAGGAATGAATACACTAATCCCTATTTTTACCTTTGCTTTCAAAAACGCAAAGGAAGGAAAAAAGGGAAAGAAATAAGAGAAAACTTGTTAGGTAATCATGGGTTTTGTTTTGTTTTTGTTTTGTTTGGTAAACACCCTGTATTCTTTTCTTGAAATATTACCATTTAAAAAAAAAAAAAAAAAAGGTCACCCACTGTGGCAGCACGATAGCACAGCGTAACACCACCTACATGACATGCAGAGTCAATGCTCCCAGAGTTAGGAGAAGCCTAGGTTAGATGCCATAAATCATCTTCTTCATTGTATCCATTTTTTTGCTTGACGTGATTGTACCTAAACAAGGGGTCTCGCTTTCCTCACATCAGCACTCTTGAACGCTTGAGGCCATTAGTGAGTGTATTTTGGTCGGAAGAATGGTAGGAGCCTCTTCATTAAGATGGTAGGATCAGCTCCCTCCACTTTAGGGGAGATGTGCTATAAAATCAACCACCAGAACAAGTTTATGCTCCCCATTCCCACTCAGCGCTCAGTCACTGTGTTCTTTTTCCTTACAAAATTCCTGTTTGAAAGTATACGTTCAGTTTACCATTATGATTGGGAAAATGTATTTTAAGCAGAAAATGACAATGCTTCTCCACTTTATCTTTTCTAAAACATTTAGGGCAATCAGGATTCATTAGAGGGACTAAAGCGAAGGGCTTTAGAGAAACATTGTAAGCATCCCCTATTTCATGTTCTGATGCTAAATGTGATCAAACAACTCTTTGTAATGTGGGATTTTTTTCTTATGTGGCTATGCAGAAGCTTAAGTTATAAATAGTAATGCTCACAAATAGTTTTAGTGGACACTTTATGACAGCTGTCACTTTGTTTTACCACAACTAGAATTTGTTCACCTGTTTTCCAGATATCTCCCCCCAAAGGAGACAAAGAGTACCAGCTATTTGATAAGCATTACTTATGACAAACATCATAAACATTATAGTTCATTTGGTCAATTAATTAGATAAATGTTGTGTACCCACAAATTTGAATCTAACGTAACTAGCAATAGGGATTAGGAAGTTAGTTTTAGAAAATAAATAGTACATAAACACTGTATTCATGGAGTTGATACTCTACTACTTAAGCAAATTTTTAGATAAAAAAAGAAAATTAATGCAGTTAGATAGTAAGGAGATGACAGCCAGAACACATCTCTCATCAAGAAATCACAATGAACATTTTCATCTCATTTTTTTAAAGGAAATTTGTCCCTATTTTCATTCCTTCCTTCCTTCTAGTGTGAAACTACTCAGTAGGGTTAGTATTTAGAGGTTATTTAGCCACTGTCTACATGGTGTGGATTCCCTCTTGGTTTACTGCTTACTGCCAATCTACCTAGTGCCTTTGTTAACTACTTTCCTTGGAGCAGTGTTAACCTATCATAGTTCATCTAACAAAAGATCACCTTAAATTAGAGCATCCTTTCTTGTCTTAAACTCAAAGTCTGGTATTACTGAAATAAAATATTCCTAGGATGTGTTTTTCTGGAAAATATCTATAATGAATCAAACTGTTTAGAGTGTTAGCTTGAAAATGATGGATCCAGCTACTCAGAAAAATCACAGGTGGAAGAGTAATATAACAATGATTTTTCATGGTTTGAGGTTTTAAAAGAAAGACCATTTAAGGTATTGCAATGAGATTATCGTATTCGTCATTGCCAAAACACCCTTGAAGAAATTCAAAGGTAGAAGAAAGTGATTTTTCTCTTCCGCATACATACTCTATGACAAGACTTCTCAGATATTAATTTGGGGAGGCTTGATTTTAAAAAGTCAACAAGATATAATAGCATTTGTGGGTAAATAATTCCCTGGGATTAGATATAAGTAAATATATTTGGGTTAGTGAATGGTAAAGGCATGAAATTCAGTATTAGAAATGAACCAGTCTTTAAAATCTGGTGAGTAAAATGACAGAAGTCTTAAGCAATTGTATTCTGTCTGGAGCTATATTTTTTCCTACCACCATAGACCTTGTTAATAAGGCCTGAAACTTGGGTTGCACAATGTCCAGTTTCCAGAATCCACTGGTGGGACGGTAAGAATTGACGATAAGCTGTGGTATGAGAATGAATTGAAATACGGTTTCATTGATGGATTTCTCTGCACATCCATTTCACAATGGCTAGGTTGTCTGTTACTAAATTATGGGGAAAGAAACTTTTTAAATTAGAGATGTCAGAAGAAGAACTCAAGGTAGAGGAAGGAATGCGGGGTGGGGGATCAAACTTGCTTCTGTGTTGTCCAGAGAATCTTTTCCTCATTCTGCCAGCCATAGGCACCTTCAGCTTTCAACATAGGTGCCAAATACAAATAGTGCCAATGAGGAAGGGGCTAAATAGAGTGGCCAGTTCCTCAGACATTAGAATTAGGCCTTGATCTTGAGGTAATAATCTGATGGTCTTGTTACATGGAAACCACTTCACTACAAATTTAGCTAAGACTTTATTGTATAATTGCAACCGTCTGTAAGATCTATTGTGTCATTTCTTCAACAATTTAAGATTTGTGAAGCTTCTTGAGGCTGAAAAAATAAGTACAAGGAGTAGATTGTGCCTTTTGCCCTGCCCCCCTCCCCTCTCCCCCCCCCTTAAAAATACAATTTACCACCATCCCATTTTCCTTGGTGAAGGTTAACTGATTTGGAAATCAGTTGAATATTGACATTTAGTTTTAAATTAAAATCATGTTGCAGTTTCCCCAAGTTGATTTCACAGTGGTCATTAAAGTCATTCTCAGGGTTAACGCAGGAATGCAAGTATCTGCCTCAATTTTTACTTCATTGATAACTTTTTGAAGAGTGCAGGAATTCTCTCAACTGTATGGCTGTGTAAGTAGATTTTGAATGAACTCTTACGAATAAGCTAGCTAATCTGGATGTATCTATAAATTCTGCAGATGTTTCCCTGGTGACCTCTGAGAATGAATGATGGTTCTGTAGTGGACTCAAGTAGCTAATAAACAGAGCCTAACCCACTGTTGTGAAGAATTTGCACTTGCTTGATAGTGGTGGCTGAGAGAAAATAAGTAGTTTGAGGAAGTAGTTTTTAAATCAGATTTTACAGATAGAAACAGGAGTGTATCAGCTTAACTATGGAATTTTTAGAATGTGTTGTCGTGCGTCTAAATCTAATTGCAATGAAAACGCCCAGCCTTTCAGTCTCTCGAATTTCTCTAGTTGTGTAGTAATTCTTGAAATCCTCTTTAAGGAAAATCAAGGAGAACGCTTTGTAAAGAAGGCTTGGCCTTCTGGAAGAACTGTTTACAGGTTATGTGAAAGGACTTAAACTCATTGAAAGTGTAGTGGAAATGTGGAGAACAATGTGGGTAAAGGAAACTACCTCACTCTTTGAAGGTTTTGTAGAAGCACAATTAAACCTCCTAAAATGGCTTTGTCACATATGAACCATCTGGTGTGAAAGAGCTCTATATTTGTAGTGTCTAAAGGACCTGGGATAATTGTATTTTGCTGGCAATAGACACATTCTTTATTGTTTGCAGATTCCTCATCAAATCTTTAATTACACACTTGTTTCTGCCATCAATAAAACAACTTAAAAGAATCCTGTTTGTGTAGTCTCTTGAAATCAGCATTTGTTGGATGCATGAAACATAGCGCTTAATTACCATTTCCGTGATGTTCCAAGGCTTTTGGTCATGGGATGTAAATGTAGTGTATTTTTAAACCAAAATGGCATTGAGAGTGGGAGAAGAATTGAGCACACCAGAAAGACCCAAAACCATACACCTGGAGAGAATTTAAATAGATCTGTTTTCAAATATCTGATAGAAATACAATGGGCTTTTAAGAATTGTCCTTTCCTCTGAGTATGGGTCTGTCTTTAGTAAAGTTTAGCTTTGTCTTAACTTTTACATGGAATAAGGGGAATAGATCGCTTCTTCCTATTCACCACCCTAATGAATCTACCTCAGTGATACAACACACCCGTAAGTGGCTCACTAGCCTTGGAATTAAAAAACACAGTATAAAGTGAAAGGCATTCCATCAAAACTCAAGGAACATTGATGATGCATCCTTTTAGTCAAACTGGACCCATATAAACTGCCCTGAAATGCATATATCTGAGAGAATGAAGCCAAATGCGTTCTGAGGGTCCCATATACTTATTTTTTTTTTGTCATTTGTCCCAGTGATTGCCAAGTACAGCAAAACCCAAGGTTTTTCATCAAGTTACTATAGGCTGACTTAAAAGTGTCAGTGCTCAGTGACCCTCTTCTCCCAACCTTGTCAACCTGTGAACATATTAGCCTTTTTCAAGGATTACATGCAGAGTGTGGAAGGTCCAGGTGAAGGTTATTAGTCAAGTCCTCCTACAGCATCAATGCTCAAATCCCACAAGAGTGACAAAGATAGATCTGTCGTTCCTGAGGGTGATGGCATACATTCACTGGAGCTTATAGGATTTATCAGTTGAGACAGCAGTCTCCTTCAGGGGACAAAGTGTCTCTTCCACATCAGTTTACTAACAAGCCAAAAAAAAACAAAAAAAAGGCTTGGAGGAACAGGGATTTTTCAATCTTCATAATTATTTTTCTGCTAAGCTGATTCAATTTGATTGTAAGCATATTTTTAAAATCAAGCGTCTCGAGTCCATGACATGGCCTACCATAGTTGCCATCATACCATGATGACTTCTCTTTAGATGAAATGTGCTGTTGTAGCCTGACTTCATTTATAATGGAGATGACTTGCAGGATCACAGTCTTGTAACCAAAAGACCCACAGCCAAGACGGAGACGCTTCTTATGTGTATGTTAGAACAATCACCGGGCTTACTCTCTAGTTATGTCTGTATGCAACCGGGACCATGTTGACTGAAATCCATGGTCGTTCTCTCCGAAGTCACTAAGTCTCTGTGGTCACTACATCAATAGGATTTTTCTATGAGAGTAACCGAGAAAAAATTTCAGGTTACAAGAATCAGGCAGAAAGTATCCCAAGTACAGTGTAGCTATTTTTAAGTGGAACTGATTCAATTGTGAAGAGCCATTAAACTGCATTTGTTTTATATTTTGTTTTTAAA